TTTAAATTTTTAGTAATACCATATTTTATTATATTCATACTGATGTTGAAAATTATACCTGAATATGGCACAAAGTTATAATCAACCAATGGCGGCTCCTGGAAAAGTTTAAATCGTTCAAATAAATCAGTGTTAAATAATTTTTTTTTTTTTTGAAAATAACAGACTATGATTTTTAAAAGTTTGACTTAATTATAGCATTTTTGTAATGAATTCGGATGATAATACATCCTTATTTTTCTTTTTATTCCATAGCATTCATTTTTACTGATTCCTAACCTAACTGTCACAAAAACTTCTTCACTTACTCTTTCTTTTAAGGTAGCCTAAATCAATGAAAAGGGAACATACCGATTTTTAAACAAAATATCAATTCTAATTGTATTCAAATATGACGATTTAACTCATATAATTAATATTTAAATCTATATGCAGTTCAAAGATTCATTAAATAATTTTCATTAACAATAACAAATAAACAGCCTTCTTTCTACATTATTATAAAATTTTTAAAATCTCAGAAGATTTCTTTTTCATCTTATCCTAGAATACATTTTGTGGATGTATGTATAAACATTTCGGATATGAAACATTTTCGTAAGATTTAAAAAATGTAAAAGATGAAAATAATCTCTTCATATCATAACCTTTGGTTTTCTTAATCACTTTTATCCTGGCTGAAATGCACATGACAAAGTTTATAAAGGCTTAAATAATCCAGAGCGCTTTTGTCATGGCTACTTGCTAATTATATTTTCATCTGCCTTTCTTCTTTTTTAACTTCAACTTTAAAAATTATTTTAAATTATAGTAAAGAAAAAAGAATTTAAGTTGTTGTATTGCTAATTACAGCATGCATGATAAAATATCTAATATCTTTTCAAAACATTGAAAGATGAATGATACTGTTGGAATTAGACTTTTTCTCATTTCATTGCTAAAAGATCAAAAGTAAAATGGAAATTTTGCAAAAAAAAAAAAAAAATGGAATAAAAAACATTAAAAGAAAGTAGATGAAATATTGATCATTGCTACTTTCAATTAATAAAATTAATACACTTAACAAACAAAATTTATTTAAATCCTTCATCATACGATAAATTTTAATACACTTGCAAATTTTATTAATCAAAAACAAAAAAAAAAAATAGACAACAAAGAAATAACGATGAAATTTAAAATTTTAAAATTTTATTAAAAAAATTGTAACCTACATCATATAATGAATCATGGACAGGAAGATGGGCTGCTAACGGTAAGGATAGCATATGAGGAATGAATATCATAACCAAAAGCACTTGAATGAAAAAGGCATTGGAAATAAATGGAATATTGGTCATTGCTATTTTCAATCTCACAATCTATTTGATGAAGCTGTTTTGCGAGTATTATTAGTTTTAAAATGATCGCATGAAAATTATTATGGGAGTGTTTTAGTTATCAATTTATCCATATTCATCTGGAACTCCGCCTTTTTATTCCATTTTAAAATGCTCTTTTTCTCCTATTTCATTTCTCTTCTTATAGCTTTATCTCTTTCATTCATCATTAAATAACACTTTTCCTAAAACCAAATAAACTATCCTTTTATTATAATGATCATTTTACATGCATTTAAGTGAAAATTTGTCCTTCATTTTATTATTGTCTTTGTAAAATTATCACTCATAATTTCATCATATCACAACTTTTTGCAGTTCATTCATTGATCATATTGCTATGCATTTTCAGTTTATAAAGTGAAAATTAAATTAATTCAAACTGAAAAATTTGTTAATTTTTCTTTTAGTTATTTGTTGATACACGTTGTATCATAATGTTGTGTTTTGAAATTTAAAAAAAATTTTTTTATGCTAAAAAATTACAAAACTTCATTACGAAAAAGATGATAATTTTTATGAAAAATTGCCACTCAGTGAATAGATATTGATTGAGATTTTCATGCTAATTGTAATTACGATTCAAAAAATTTAATTAAATCAAACACTCACATCTGATTTATCATCACTTACAACTTTACAAGAATTTCACTGCATTTATCGGTCGACAAAAGTACTGGAAAAAAAGACTGTTTAAAAAAGTAATGCTGGTCGAAAATTAATAACAATTACTTCATTAGTAGTAAATTAGTAAAACAAAAAGAGAAAATTTCAACATATCTATAGAATATATAACAGCTTTCACTTCACATTATCGGTCTTCTCATAAATTTAATGCAAAATAAAATTAGTCTCTAATTCCATAGAATTAAAAACTCATACATAAAATTAAAAATTTACTTTGTTAACTTCGATTCTAATTTACCTTTAAGTCAAACTGAACAAGATAAGTTTTTTTAATTTGATCATAAACCATTGAGACATTACTATTTCATTTTGACACCTGCGCAAAATCGGTAAGTTCGAATTATACGTTTTATTTACTTTCATTGTTTTTTTTTTGATTTCTTAGTCGGGTCTTGACGGGATTTTTTATTTTTGTACTGTTGGGTATGACTTTCCGGATGTTCCGGAGTTTCATTCTGTCAACAGTCCGAAGTATTCGTTTCAGGAATTAATCCATGAATGAAGAAGAATGTGATGTGTTAAAAAGTGCGCTTAAAATATCAACTTCCAATTACTGCAATTCAATTGACGAGCTTCTAAAAAGAATTTCTTATTTGAGGCAAAATCAGCTTACCTTTGGTTAGTTTGGTTTATTTGCTAAAGAAATGTCCTTGCTTAATACATTATTTCTCGAATTCAAACATCATATGTTCATAAATGTCACATATTTTGGTTTATTAAAAAAATAACGCGATTTCGTAATTAATCGAGTAATATTTTAATTTTTGTGTTGGTAGCTAGTGTATATAGTATGAAATTTTACGAAATGTTAAGGATATTAGGGATTGAAATAATTGAAATTTAAATAAAGGGAATGTTAGCAGGTAAAAAATGAGGCAGATTTTAGAGAAATGGTATTGCTATTTGTTTTCCTAGTTTCTGTTGCTTATTTTTCCTTCCAAAATGATCCAGGAATATACGGATATCATCCTAATGTATTTTTGTCGTAGATGAAATGCTAAACGATATAATAAAAAGAAAAGAAGGCACAATTATTATGTCAGTATACAAAAAAAGTGGAATTAAACCTATTATGTGGGATTACTTTCTAGTTAGAGTTGGTGTCGAACGGCATGGTCAATCAGAAATCAACATTATTTGTAGCATATGATCTATTCTCAGTTGTAGATAAGGGTTTTGAAGTTGTCTCGAATCATGAAGGGAAGTGGTGCAAACTTTTTGCGGATTTTATTGCTGGAAATAGCTACTGCAATGCGAAAAACTGTGCTGTACACAGTGATGATATGCTTTGGTACGTATCTATGCAAGAAATCAGTCGAAACTTTTGCATTGGTCAGGAAGTAAGTTTCATATGACTTTCTTGTCTTGATACGAAACGAGATAAAATTTAAGTAAGACTGAGTTTATGTAGTAGTGCTAATTTAACTTTATAAATACTAATTTCGACGATACTCACACCACCTATGAGTTATATCACATTTTTGTCAAAAGTGCGATTTTTTAAACCCTGCTTTGTTCATTCTTTGATTTTTAACATCTTGTTTTTTTTCCGCAATTGTTACTACATATGTTGTACTTGTGTTGTAATGTGCTTTATTTAGGGAAGTCAGCTTCAAGTATATAGGCGTCAAAGTCCAAATAAACCCATACTGAATGATCCTTCGATAAATTGGGAAGAAACCGTTTGTCTGAACCTCATCCTTCAACAGGTGCATTTTGCCGAAAATTTATACATATTAATTTGGGAAACATTTGCTACTCTTTTATGGTATAATGAGTCTTATTTGTAAAATAAAACTGTGCTCAGATTACAATAAACAAAATTTGTATCTGCATATGGGGTAATATTGGTATTAATTTTAGCTAATGTTCCATATTCTTAAAGGTTTATAAATGATTAGTTTTTAGAGTTGAAAATTAAGTTGATCAGCTCGGCGAAAAAAAAAAATTTTTGCAGAATTTGAAGAGATACATTTCAGTTAGATTTTCAAGTCACTTGTGCTGTTTGTATTAAAACCAGTCCACAGAACTTGCAAATTTTGCGTAAAAATTGTCAAGTAAGATTTTCTTTTATATCTTTCATTTTCAGTATATTTGAATTCAAATCTTTATATAGAATTTTGTTCTGATGAAGTATGCAGTGCTACATAATTATTCCTAGAAATTAAATGCGAACAACCAATTTTCAGCGAGTGTACCCATCACCGAGTAAACGACGGATGGATAGCAAAGGTGAATGCGAAGAAATCACTTATCCAAAAATCTATTTCGCGATAGATGACTTTGAAGAGGTTTGCTTCTCTTTGACCATTTTTTCAAACTTTTAAGTTTGCTAGTTTTATGAAATTCAGAGAACGGATTTCTATTTTTTGCCATATTTACGCATATTTCAATATTGATTTCTGCGTCATTTTCAGATCTTTAGTGACATAGTTGTTCGTGATGGTGAATGCGTTTGCGTTGAATTGGTAGCGAAGGATAGATGCAAAAATTGCGAGGCGGTTGTTTTTCTCGGTTCAATTCGATACGAAGTTCTGAAACAAGCGTACGATGCACGCGTATGTTGGAATTTTTTTTATATCTGTCGCTTCCAAAGACTGTAACGTTTTTGATTTGTACTAGCTGAAAAAAAAAGAAACAAAATTCCGTTCTATATTTAGGCATCGTTCTCTTGGCAGTGGACACAGAAATTCATAACCCCGAATCAGCGACGCCGTGAATTTGTTCGAATGAGAGGACCACATGGGAAAGTTATGCTGTATTTATTCATTTATTGTACTTTACATTACATTATGCTTGTTAAAATTTTATAGAATACTTTGCTTAAAATTATATACCTATCAATTTAATTCGCTGATCTTAGTGACTTCTACACTTAGGCATGTGTCGCAGTAAAAAAATAATGCAGTCGCATTCCAACAGATTTTGTATTAGGAATGCTATTGTAGGGTATGCAGAAATGGCGGTCATGCGCCTAGCAAATTGTGGCTATGAAACTCCTGTTCCAGAACAATCATCAAATTTTGAAAGTGTAAGTTTCTAGTTATTTTCATTTGCTGTTGATAAATTCATTTAAATTTGCATATAAATTTGGTGATTTCAAAAATACTTTGTTTGGCCTTACTTCACGAAAACATCAATTTGCCAGAGTTGTAAAATTAATTTTTATGAGGATTTTTTTCGTAAATTCATATATTTTAAGCTGGGGCAATGCGGGATGCGACGCATGTCTGATACGAATTTAAGTCATTATCCACAACGATTAATGGTAATGTCTGGCTTATCAGATGGACATGATGCTAATAGGGGACGACGCTGGCAAAGTGAAACAGATACTATAAATCAATATCGAGAAGTTGAAGCTAGTAGTATCGACGATGGTATGGATTTCAGTATTGTAATTCATTAAAATTGCGAAAAGCTTTACGCAATTGTCGTTTTAGATTAGAAATCCAATTCCTTTAGAACATTAGTTCTTTTACCCTATTTTTGCCAAATCGCACAATTTCATCATTCATCGCCATTCCCAAGTTTAAGCGGGTTTTAAAGTGATGCTGCTATAAAACCAGCAGTTTAGAGGCAGAGAAGTGAACGATCATTTTGGAACTCTTTATAAATTCCGAAGGAAATACCAAATAAATTATTGGAAAAGAATGAAATAATAATTAGAACATGATTATAAGAGTCTTCTTGGTAAGATTGAACATTCCATTTAACATAATGATTTCATTAAAAAATGCAATTTATGAAAGGATGTCATCATGCGAGATTGTCTATTCGAACTTTTCTGTTGAATGGTTTAGACTAACTTTCTTAATTGGTGACCATCAGAATTTGGAATTGTAGTGGTGCTACCTGTTCATATTCTCAAGTGAAAAATGCTGCTGTATTCTTTTTTGAGGTGCTGTCCTGTTAAAGCTGCTTTTCTGTTGAGATTTAGTCGTTTTTGCAATACTTCATATCAGGGTGATGATATGATTTTTAGTTTTGGATGCTGATGAATTTCTGCGGTTGATGGAAACCAAAAAAATAAGGGATTATTGACTAAAAGTCGGGAATTTCTGTTTGATTTAGTCACCATTCGCATAACTGTAGATTTAAGAAAAAATCAAAAGGAAAATTCAAAAGTTGTGTAGTAGGATATTATTACTAAAAAAGAATAAACGTGTTACTAAAAAAAAATGTGCTGCTTCGATATATTATAACATAAAATAGTTTTGCAAAGGATGATGCAGAGTAATATTTTGGTCTAATAATTGTTATATAAAATATTAATTTAGGGGTCAGTTAAGGAGTTGATAATAAATTATAATTGTATTTATTTAGTGCTAAATGAAGGCATGATGAGTCGCCTGTGGTCAGTCCGCGGCTTTGGTCAAGCATGGCACTGGCTTCGAGAGAAGCGAAGGGCTGAAAGCACTCCATTGAATGCATTCCTGACATACATCACGCTTCCGTGGTCGACAGTCCTTGACGGTAGGTAACTAAATACTAATTTCAAGAAATTCATTAAATCGAGGCAGTTATTTACTAGAAGAAATTTTCTTGTTTATTTCAACAGCATGAAATAAAATCTCGTTAAATGTTTGATGGATAGTTTTCAGAAAAATGGCTGTTTTAGATTTACTTATGGAACGACCTCGTCGACCGATTCTTACTTTTGACTTAGGTAACTTGGAAGTGAAATCCGATCAGTAATATTTAATGGTTTAAAATTTTCCGATATTATTTTTGGGGACCTTTTATATACAAAATATTTAGTGAAACATTTATTTATTTAGTTTTTACGTTTATATATTGAAACATAGCTTGTCTTGTAAAGTTGGCAACAATGCTATGTACCGGTTATTAATAATAAATGATATATTCTGGGATATCAGGTCTCAAAAACAAATTTCATTACGTTGTAATTTATGTTGTCCATACTGGAAGCTGTTTTTTACTCTGGATGGCGATGTAGGTTTTCAATAGAGACTATATCACTTCTTTTTGAGAGATTTAGAATTAAGTCTTGAATTAGAAGGTTCTAGGTTGCAATTTTTGAAATTAACGTTGAACTGCTTCCGGTTTTTGAACCAAGCTTTATGTTCTTATATGTTGTGCTTTAATCGTAAGAATTGTACACTGTAAATTTATGGATTTTCTCATGTTCATTTCTTTACCAGATTTAAGACAATTAATAATTTGCCTATATGTATATTTGGAAATCTTTAATCATGAAATGATTCCAACAATGTGAATTCCAATACTGCCTCTGGTATTGCAATTATTGTCTGCTGCATTCTGTGATATTAGTTTTATAAGCAAGATGTCATTCCAAGTGATGTTATTAAAATGAATACACTTGTTTATATTTTTTTCAACCTTTTCAGTCTCAAATTCATATACTTGAAAACCGTTGAAAAATATACATAACAGGTATTCTGTGAGTCTTACATATTTTAATACATTGTTAATATGTAATTACGCAAAAATTTTGAATAGTGATTCCAAAGCGAACATGAGTGAACTATCCTATTTATTAAGGATTTAAATTTTTTGCCAGAAAATTTCAAAACTCAATTTTGAGCGGATAGATGGTTACTTTTGCGTATTTTGAATAATTTGATAAAACTTCATATGCTTACGAATAGAACAGGAAAAGGAGCAGTGTAATGCAAGTTCCTGTTGCAGCAACATTGAGTCTTATATTTTTTCAATAACTTTCAGGTCATTTCAACTGGTTCTGAAGATATGCATCCGTTGTTTATCTAATCTTAACCCAAAAAACATTCAAATTATTTTACAATTAGTTGATCAGTATTTTTTAGGTCATCTCATTAATATGATGTAAAATGAATTATGGTGGAATGGTTTGAAGGGTCACTCTTTAAGGAATGTAAGAGTTATCAATGTAGTTCATCATATCCTAACTGATAGTAACTTAATTGATATGTCTTCTGTTACGACAAATAATTTTGTAAGTTGTATTGTGATGTTACTTGAGCTTCTTACATTAGGTTACTCGGGATTAGGACAATATGCTTCATTTCTCTTTATTTCTTTCAGTACCATAATTTCAGTCCGTTTCTGGGTGACTAAGATTCACTGATATATAACATTCACTTAATTTATTTTCTATTATGTTTATTTAGCACCGAGAAATTAATTCTGTAATTAGCCAAAATTGCGGTTTCCTTTGCAAATTATATAGAACAATCAATAACTATGAGATTGAAGTCAGATTGTGAAAGAAAACTGATAATATAATTTATAGGTTGATAACAAGTTTGAATTCAATAATTCATCATTTCGCTAAACACGAATGTTACCAGAACGATAATTTATTCTGGTACGGTCATTTAAATGAAAGCGAATAAAAATTGTTCTAAAATTTCACGAAATTTTTGAAACATTCATTACTTCATTATTTCATCTAATCATACCATCCTATGATACTTTTTTCATTCATTATTCTCAGTTATTGCACTCTTGACCCTGAAGGAAGCTTTGTAACGAATGGTTTAAATTAAGCAATAATGATGCTTGAAGTAGGATCAATGGTTGAAGTAAAAATTTAACACATATTACATTCTGCCTAGAAATTAGGCATTATCATTATTTTGAGCGAAAAACAATCAGTACTAAAAAAATTTATCAGCTAGTCAATCACCACTCATAACATTTTTTCCATTTATCACTGTTTTCAAATGAATAAATCCTTCAAATTTAATCTTAACTATAGTTAAAAATTTTATTCATGTTTAATTTACAGTATTTGAAACTTTGAAAAAAAGAAATGCTTGAAATGTAGGTAATTAGTTTGTATGCTATCCGATTCGATACGGAAAATACGCGATGTTCAAATCCTTATTTAAGAGTTTTTCTATTTTTTTTTCTTCTTATCTTTCCTTTCGTTTCATGCATTCATTTAACTTGTAAAGAAAAGTGATGAACTTAATGAAAAAAAAAAAAAAACGAAATGTCATTTTTAGGCCATTGAAAAGAGCTGCCGATACGCGCAATACATACATACTACGCCTACACATATGTTTTTATACAAAAGGAAAATAAAAAAAAAAACGATATTTCAATACAAATAGGTGTTTATAAAAGTAGTTAATGATACGTCTTTCATCCACACACACACATACACACACACACACGCACACACATACACACACACACACACACCTGATTTATTCACGCAGTTTTCCTAACTCCTGGTCAGTTGTGTTTTGCATTGTCTCCTTCTTCATGTTTCCTTTCTTGCGAAAAAGTTTGAAATCCTCTTTTTATCTTTATTTCTCACTTAAATCATATTATTTTTATCCCCTTTTCCTCATCTTTTTTCTCTTTCCCTCCTTCTGTTCTCTTTCTCCCCCAATATTTCCCGTTTATTTTGATCAAATATTTAATCTTTTCCTTTTTTTTTAAAAAAAAAAATTCACCGTACTTTTCACTTTTTAAAAGTAAAAGTTCAACTAAAAATTTGTTTTCGTAGAAAAAAAAAACAAAAGTTGAATTGTTTAAATTCTAAAAAGCACATCCATTAAATGATGAATTGGAATTTAATTGGTTATAATGCTGTAATTTTGTGAGTTAGTTGAATATGTCAAATTGAAAATTAGGTGAAAATCTCGAATTTTTGATTAAATAATTTATTAAAAACATTTAATAAAGCGATGAATTAAAACAACTATTGGTTGAATATCATGGTGCTACTCATTAATTTCGACAAATTAATTGATTAGTCGTATCTGGCACCAAATTACTATACCAATAAAAGATTTTATATTTCTACTTTTAAAATTTAAATCCCAGAATAATTCTGATTATA